TTCATAATTGCGATAGTCTTCGGAAAGGGTCGCAGGTTTCAGGGGTGGCAAGCAGGTGGAGCCCACGAATTCAGGGTGGGGGGGGGGGGGTATTATTGTCATTTTGAAAAAGCTACAGCTGCGTTTTCTTGGAAAAGGAAAGTTTTTTTTTTTTTTTTTTTTTGAATTTTTTAAAAGAGGTTTTTGGAAGTTTTCAGCTTCTGTACACGACAAAAGTCAAGACGTCTTATCATCTCCGCCACGTGATGTCTTTGGCTTTAACCTCCATTCATTGTATTAATTAATTACGTGTCATGTTTTTTTAAGAATATCACAAGAACATAAGGTAAGTAAATCAGTCCAATTTCGAAACTGTCCTTTTTTTTTGTAAATTAATTTATACTAATTCTGAAGATTAAGTTGACCAATGAGCCTTAATCCACTTATTATTACTATTATTATTTTATATCCTTATTATAAAAGGATATAAACAATACAGCATATAATAAAGTATTTCTTATTTTAAACTTAAGAATATTTGAAATTTTGTTTAATCAATTTATTGCGTATACATATATATATGTATATTATATTATATTAATATATTTGTTGGTTTGTTTAAGGCGATGGTGACCAGGTATGCGTCCATATCAACAAGAAAGCTATCCAACGCACTGAAAGTTCTTACTTATGATAAGTGCATGGTTGCTACAAGTGACTATGACGACTTCCACAAGATGGTCAAACGATTTATAATGTCAAGCCTCTTGGGTGCTAATGCTCAGGTCTTAATTTCCAAGTATATATATACATATATATATATATATGTAACTTGTACAGCTTTTTTTTAAACTAAAACAGATTTAGGTGACAACAAAACTTTCTTATACATATTGGAAAAATGATTATTTTATTAACCAACCATGCAGAAACGAGTTAGAAGCAATAGAGATACTTTGCTGGAAAACTCAGCAACCCAGTTGCATGCTCATTACAAGAGCTTCCCTGACGAGCCTGTGAATTTCAGGAAAATATTTGTGTCCGAGCTCTTTGGATTGGCAATGAAACAAGTAATAAGCTTCTCCTCTCTTTTTTCTTTTTTTCTTAACATATAGTTTAATATAAAAACTTAGAATATACGTTTATACATTTATTTTGGTATATGCAGGCTTTGGGGAGGGATGTGGAATCTGTTTATGTGGATGAGCTTGGAAAAACTCTGTCCCGACAGGAGATATTCAAGGTTTTAGTTTTGGACATGATGGAGGGTGCAATTGAAGTGGATTGGAGAGATTTCTTTCCATATCTTAAATGGGTTCCTAACAAGAGCTTTGAAGTTAAAATCCGTGAAAAGCATTTCCGCAGGCTTGCAGTGATGAATGCCCTTATCAAAGAACACAAGAAATGGCTTGATTCTGGAGAGGTTCTTTTTGTTCTTTACCCTTCTTCAACTTCAGAATAACTTTTTTTAGAAAAATTTTTAATCTCTTTTGGTGGTTAATTATTACAATTTCTAAAATGTAATATACATGGAATGTTGAATAGGAAACTGTGAGTTGTTATCTTGATTTCTTACTATCGGAAGGAAAGTCACTTACCAAGGAACAAATTGCTATACTACTTTGGGAGACAATTATTGAGACAGCAGACACCACTCTGGTAACAACTGAGTGGGCAATGTATGAACTTGCTAAAGATAAGACCAGACAGGTTGGTTTTTTCCTTTTTTTTTTTTTTTTTTTTAACTATGTGTGTTTTAAGTATATAAGATTCTTAGATTTGTTTAAATATATTTTATATATTACAGGATCTTCTGTATGAGGAACTCAGAAATCTATGTGGGGCAGAAAAGATTAAGGAGGAACAATTGTCCAAACTTCCGTACTTGAATAGTGTATTTCATGAGACACTGAGAAAATACAGTCCAGCTCCTCTAGTTCCAGTACGTTATGTACATGAAGATACTCAATTGGGAGGCTATTACATTCCTTCTGGAACTGAGGTATTATATTTTCTTTTAGGTTCTTTTGGTTTTATTACTTGTACGATAAAATTAATTCAAATTGATGTTATACATTTGTAGATTGCCATAAACATCTATGGTTGTAACATGGACAAAAACCAATGGGAGAGTCCTGAGCAGTGGATGCCTGAAAGGTTTTTGAATGATAAATTTGATGCGTTGGAGCTGCACAAGACAATGGCATTTGGGGCAGGAAGGAGGGCTTGTGCAGGTGCTCTTCAGGCAAATTTGATAGGCTCAACAGCGATTGGGAGGTTAGTGCAGGAATTCGAGTGGAGTCTAAGCTATGGAGAGAAAGAGGATGTTGATACTCTTGGTCTCACCTCTCAAAAGCTTCATCCTTTGCATGCAATCATAAAACCAAGAGACTAAACCAGTATCTCTATTATCCTCAGCTGGCTGCCCAAGTTTATTTTAGTGTGCATCAAAGTTGAAGAGAGAGTAACTGTCAGCTTTTGTACTTATAATCTCACTGCTTGCTCTCTTAATTTCTGTCTGGATATTGTAGTAATTTTGTTGCTTGGGGTCTAGAATGTCAAACTCTTTGCATAATAAATTGGAATTTCTGTAAAAATTAACATGGCTTGTCTTTTAAAATTAACATCGACCTTATTGTTGTCTCATTATGGCCTATTTCCAATAATTGGCAGAGATCAACGCTATTGTGCTCTAAAACAACATTGGGAAGAGTCAACCTGAAACCATTTTCCTTGAAAGAAGATAAAATGTCGGATAGAAAAGAAAAGAAAAGAAAAGAACAGATAAAATAAGAGAAAAGGAGAGGCACCAACATCCCTTTGTTTTGCTTTCCAAGTAAGCCCCTTAAAAGATAATAATAGTTGAGGCAAACATCATGAACCAGAGCCACAACCGTATATCAAGCCAGCAGTGCCCCATTAAACGATCTAAACCGAAGGATTCTTGTATAATTCAATCAAATTAGCCAAAATTTTATGAGCCAAGAGGACCTCTTATGCACCAAGTACAACCAACAAAGCAATGCCCCATAAACACCGCGCACAAACCACTTAACTCTTAAATATTTGTATTCTTGTTTAACACCATATCCCATTTATTATTGTAATTCTTCTTTTCTCTTCCTGTGTATATGTATATCTTCTTAAATATAGTGTTTAAATTTTAAAATAAAACAAATATTCTATAAAAAGCAACATATATCTACTTACTTCGACAAATGTTTGGCAGAAAACCAAATTATTCATTACAAATTATATGTTTACAGAAGCTCAGAGTTCTAGGACCAGATAGCAACTAAATTATTATAGAGGTTTTAATAAAACTTAATACAAAACATCCAACACATGAGATCATCAATTTAGACAGCCAACAAAAGATAATCATACATATATATATATATATATATATATATATGATCAATAGTGATAAACCAACAGGTTTAATCTCTGGGTTTTATGATTGCATGTAAAGGATGGAGCTTTTGAGAGGTGAGGCCAAGGGTGTTGACATCCTCTTTCTCTTCATCTTTTAAACTCCACTCAAATTCTTGTACTAATCTACCAATTGCTGTGGAGGCAATCAAACTTGCTTGAAGAGCACCTGCACAAACTCTCCTTCCTGCACCGAACGCCATTGTCTTTTGCAAGTCAATGATATTAAATTTCTCATCTAAAAACCTCTCTGGTATCCACTTTTCAGGACTCTCCCATTGTCTTTTGTTCATATTACATCCATAGATGTTTATAGCAATCTGCATATATGTAAATACATACCATATAATTATCGCATAATGTAATATAACATGTACTATGAAACTGCATGTTATAAAAAATGCATACAATATGAATTATTATAAGATCAAAAGGGTACCTCGCATCCGGAAGGAATATAATAGCCTCCTAATTGGGTATCTTCATGGACATAACGTAATGGAACCAGAGGAGCTGGATTGTGTTTCCTCAAAGTCTCATGGAATACACCATTCAGATATGGAAGTTGGGATAATTGTTCCTCTTTAATCTTCTCTATCCCACACACACTTTGGAGTTCTTCATATAAAACTTCCTGTTATATATATGCACATTTAAACAAATTCAAAAACCTTATGTACTTAAAACGTATACAGTTCTTTTTGTAGAAAAACAAAATAACTTGTATGTACATCAAACCTGTCTGGTATTATCTTTGGAAATTTCATACATGGCCCATTCAGTTGTTACCAAGGTTGTGTCTGATGCCTCAGCAATTGTCTCCCAAAGTAATATAACAATCTGTTCATTTGTAAGAGATCTTCCTTCTGACAGTAACACATCAAGATAGCAACCCACAACATCCTGCTTAACATCCATGCATATGTTACAAAAAATTATACCATCAAGATATATAATTTATGTTGAAGAAAGCCAAGAAAAAAATTAAGCAACCTCTCCTGAACCAGTCAATTCCTTGTGTTCTCTGATAAGGGCATTCATCACCGCAAACCTGCGAAAATTCTTTTCTTGGATATCAATTTCGAAGCTCTTGTTTGGAAGCCATTTAAGATATGGGAAGAAATCTCTCCAATCCACTTCGATTCCAGCCTCCATCATATCCAAAACTAGAACTTTCAGTATCTCTTTTCTTGATAAACTTCTTCCAAGCTCCTCCACATAAACAGATTCCACATCCCTCCCAAAAGCCTGCACATATAAACACTCAAAACACATTAATCTCACATTGTTTCTTTTAGAAAATCTCATTTTCTTTTTATGTTAAAATATATTATAAAACTAGTCTCAATATTTTCAACAATACAAGAAAAAAAGAAAAAGAAAGAAATACGAGAAACTTGCCTGTCTCATTGCGAATCCAAAAAGCTCAGACTGAAATAGTTTCTTAAAATTTATAGGCTGGTCAGGGAAGCTCTTGGCATGTGCATGCAACTGGGTTGACAAGTTCTCAACCAAAGTATCTCTATTCCATCTAGATCGTTTCTGGATGTTTGATTAACCAAACAATCAATTTTCCATAATGCAACCCGATTTCAAGTGTTAATAATTCATGCAAAAATGAACGAAAAAAAAAGGTAACGAAATAAGATAGTTCGACCCACCTGAATTACGTGTTATATTAAAAGCTATAGTTTTTTTCAACCCCAATGCCTCAATTTCATTAGAGAAAGAAACATGATTTTCCTTATAGTTCAATAAATAATTAACATAAAGTTATATAAGAAATTGAATAGAATACTTAGGAAAAAAGAAAAGAAGAACCTGCGCATTAGCACTCAAAAGGGTTGACATCATAAATCGCTTGGCCATCCTGTGGAAGTCATCGTAGTCACTTGTAGCAAGTGTGCCTTTGTCATTACTAACAATTTTCATTGCCCTTGGTAGCTTCCTTGTGGATATGGACGCAAACCTCGTCACCATGGCCTTATACAAACCAATAAACATATACATAAACCTCCATAACTATACATATAACTAAACAGGTACATAAAGACTCTCTATAATTTACATATTAACATACAATTTTAAATAAAAATTTACCATAAAATTTAAATAAACCCATATACATTAGTTAACTTTCTAGTAAAATTGTACAAATAAATTTTGGGTATACTAAATTTAAAACAAAAAAATACTTTACAAAATATGTATATAAATAATTTCTATAATGTCCTAATCTTTTTACATATATTAATACCATATTATACTATTAATATATTAACTATTTAAATTTTATTTATTTAAGATTTTCAACTTTTCAAAATATTAACTTCCTACAATTTGATTTATAGTTTGACTTAAATTTAATTTTATTTGAACATTCATAAGTACAGGTTAAATGTTTAGGATTACATCAATTTGGTATGCACTTAACATTCTTTTTTTTTTTTTCCTTTTAATTTTTATATTTGTTAATATAATATGTTAAGATGTATTTTTAACATATTTAAATTAGGAATTATATTATGGTAAATATGAATATTGACTTACTATATCATTTTTCTTTCTTCTTATATATTTTTAATACTAAATTTATTAATATAGTAGGTTGTTAAAATTATTATAATTTTCCCTTCTTTTCATATATTTTTTTATTAATAAGGTAAGTACATCTAAAAAATTAATTACGTAATCATCATTTCTCATATTTTTTTACTTTAAAAAACCCATTTTAATGAATAATTAACATTGGATTTATTAAAATTATAATTATGGGTGCAAATATTTCAAAGCAAGCACTAAAATTGAAAGTAATTCGGTGATCGAAATATTAGAACATACTTATATTACAATTTCTTTTCCATTATATTCTAATTCAACTCTTCTTTTTCTTTAGTGTGAACAAAATTAATGCATGTTAAAGGTAAAGAGAATTAATTTCAAAATGGTAAAAGTTTCCCTATTAAATGAATTCAATGAAACTAGTAATGACATTATGTCTGAGTCCAAAACGGGTTTTCAAAAAATTAAACCTAATTCGAAAATTTAACGAATTAAATTTATCGAAGATAAAAAAACTAACCTCTTTCGCAATGTCGCTAGAACTTATAACGATGAGTTTAGAAGCGCCGGTCTTGATGGAATATATTGGTCCATAAATCTCTGCCCATTTGGTGAATGTCTTGTGTGGTTTTCTCTCTTTCAACTGTAGCAAGTTTCCTATCAATGGTATACCTGGTACCTCTACACACCCACCAAATTCAATTCATGGTTATAGCACACAACGCATTTCATTTGAATTCGGATTTCATCTCTCAAATCCACCAAATACAAAGTGGTTAAGGATAAAGAAAAAGTTAATAAGAACTTACTAATCATTAAAATAATACCTGGAACTGTCGGAAGTTGTAAAAATTCGGACTTTCTTACGAAAAACTTCCATCTTTTCAAAGAAAACAAGAAGAAGGCCGAAGAGAGAACGCCTAGAACAATAGAGAAGATGAAAAAAGACATTATCGATTCTAAGTTTTCAAACTATAAATTGAGTTTTCATTAGATAGAGATACACATACAAATACATATAAACGTTGGTTGACTTTGGGACTTAAAAAGGTATATCATCTTCAAGATAGATACAAGACTTAATAAGGTAGAGTGGTAATTAATAAGGGAGGACCGCGTCTAAATCTGGAGAAATTGCATTTACACGTATGATAACATCTTTAATGAGTCATAATTATAAAAGATTATGTAAATATTAGGTCAGTTTGCAATTTTTATAGACAGTCATTAATTGATCCTTAATTTATATCAGAAAGTTATCAAAATAAAATTCAAATTAGAATTTATAGAGTTTATATTAATTTATTTTCATTCCAGAAGAATCTTCAAATACACACATATACATATACATATACTTCCTCTATCTAATTCATTTTAACTTGTGGGCTTTGTTGAAATGTGGAATTTTAAAAGAATGGAAAATTGGATTTCTTTTTAATTTTTTCTGGGCAAGACTTATTTACTATTATTATTATTATAATTATAAACAATCTTAAAAGAAAAATTATTAAATGTCACATAAATAGGAGTAAAAATAAGTTAGTGAATCCCCCAAAAAAAATAATAATAATGTAATTAGTATTAAATTTTTATTATTTAACCACTTAATCGATGTATCGTAAGTAAATAGAATTAAGAATTTAATTTATTAATGTTATTATAATAATTAAGTTGAATTAAATTTTAGGGGATCTATCATATTTCCGAGATTTTTCTTAGTCGGAGTAAGTAGAACAAATTAAAAATCAAGTCTAATTTTTTCTACAAAGAAGAACAGACTATACTTTTTAGCTACCAAACCGTCGCTAAATAAGCAAGCAGCAAATGTCCTCTATAGTAGCAGTCGGAGAAGAACAGATGCAGAGGTTGCGTCTCTCTTCAACTGCTAAATAGACACAGTAGTGGTTGCTTTTAGTGGTTGTTTTGCAAATTTAATAGCTCCATTGTAGCTTCAGTTTAATTGCCGCTAACATATATAAATAGATACAGGTTAAACAAGAATGTACATACAGAATCATGATAATTCATTCACAAGGTTCATAAAATACTACATATATTAGAACAGATATATGCACACACAAAAAAAATGACTCAGAATTGGGGAGCAACCTCAAATGCAGAAATTCTGACAGAATTATTCATTAAAACTAGAATGTTTGCAGGAGTTTGGGGTTCTAGGACCCAATAACAATAAATTATTCATCTCATCATGAACATATATAATAGAGCAACTAGCGAGGTTTCGCAAAACCTAATATTATAAACAGTAACTGAGATCGATTTGGAAAGCCCACAAAGGATATTCATAGATATATACATATACATATACATATGTATATAACATGAATAGAGTGATACTGGTTTAACCTCTTGGTTTTATGATTGCATGCAAAGGATGGAGCTTGTGAGAGCTGATGCTATGAGTGTTAACTTCCTCTTTCTCTCCATCTTTCAGACTCCACTCAAATTCTTGTACGAATTTACCTATTGCTACACAGCTTATCAAATTTGCCTGGAGAGCACCTGCACAAATCCTCCTTCCTGCCCCAAACGCCAGCGTCTTCTGTAAATCCGAGATATTATATTTCTCATCTAAAAACCTCTCTGGCATCCACTGCTCAGGCCTCTCCCATTGATTTTTGTTCATATGACATCCATAGATGTTTATCATAATCTGCATATACATATATAACATACAAGAAATGAATTGTCAAACTAGGTATTAGAGAAAACACAAACAATTTGAAGTAATTATCAAATCAGATGGTTACATACCTCGATTCCAGAAGGAATATAGTAGCCTCTCAATTGGGTATCTTCATGTACATAGCGTATTGGAACTAAAGGAGCTGGACTGTGTTTCCTCAAAGTCTCATGGAACACGCCATTCAAATATGGGAGTTGGGTTAATTGTTCCTCTTTAATCTTCTCTATCCCACACACACTTTGGAGTTCTTTATACAAAAGTTCCTGTTATATATAATATATATGTATATATATATATGTATAAACAAATCAAAAAAATCTTCTTCACTTAAAAGACACACATAATCTAAAAAAATATGTATGTCTATCAAACCTGTCTTGTTTTGTCTTTAGAAAGTTCATACATAGCCCATTCAGTTGTTACCAAAGTTGTGTCTGATGCTGCAACAATTGTCTCCCATAGTAATATAAGAAGTTGTTCATTTGTAAGTGATTTTCCTTCTTCTGACAACAAGAAGTCAAGATAACGACCGGTAGCATTCTACGACAACATCCATTCATGTGTACAAATAATATTCGATCTATAAAACTCCCGAAAAAACTAAAGATAGAATAAGTTATGCCGAAGAGGCCCAAGCAGAAATTCAACCTCTCCAGAATCAACCCATTTCTTGTGTTCTCTGATAAGGGCATTCATCACTGCAAACCTGCGAAAATTCTTTTCCTGGATATCAATTTCGAAGCTCTTGTTGGGAACCCATTTAAGATATGGGAAGAAATCTCTCCAATCCACTCGAGTTACACCCTCTATCATGTCTAAAACTATAATCTTGTATATCTCCTCTGTTGACAAAGTTTTCCCAAGCTCATCCACGAAAACAGATTCCACATCTCTCCCTAAAGCCTGCACATACAAACACTCAAATACGTATTACTGTTGTTTTGTTTCTTTAGAAAATCTCATTTCCTTTTTATGTTGAAAGATATTATAACAAATGGTCTCAATATTTTCAAAAACAGAAAAGATGAAACTCACCTGTCTCATTGCAAATCTAAAAAGCTCGGATTGGAATAATTTCTTGAAATTTATAGGCTGGCCGGGGAAGCTCTTGTCATGTGCATGCAGTTGGGTCAACAAGTTCCCAATCAAAAGATCTCTATTCCAACTAGATCGTTTCTGGATGTTTGATTAACAAAACAATCAAATTTTCTATGTCGGAATCACTACTCGATGTTAGGAATTTGTGCAAACATTAGAGAAAAAGAGAACAATAAAATAACACCTCAATAAATTTTTAGTGACCAAACTCAGACATAACTTTTGGCTTTGTTTTAGAATTTAAAGAACTCGTATAACAAATCATCGTTCAACTGAATATCTTAGATATCTCAATTTTATTAGTAAAAAAAAACTATTTTTTCTTATGTTTTAATAAAATAATTAATATAAAAAATTAAATAAACTACTTTAAAATATATATATAGAAATAACCTGAGCATTAGCACCCAAAACGTTTGATATTGCAAATCGTTTCACCATCTTGTGAAAGTTATCGTAATCACTTGTAGCAACAGTGCCTTTATTATTAGTAACAACTTTCAGTCCGCTTGGTAGCTTCCTTGTCGATATGGATGCAAACCTCGTTTCCATAGCCTTAAACATAAAAGTTACGAACTAAGTTTTTATATTAACATTCATAAATTTAAATTTAATCAAACTACTAATAATAACAGATCGAATTTGAGACATGTTTCAAACTCAAATCCAACTAACCAAGTTTTGAACTAACCTCTTTAGCAATGTCGCTGGAACTAATAACGACGAGCTTTCGACTTCCCCTCTTAATGGAATATATCGGCCCATAAATCTCAGCCCACTTGGTGAACACAACGTATGGTTTTCTCTCCTTCAACTGCAGCAAGTTTCCCAGCAAAGGTACTCCTGGTACCTCTGTCACGCACACCAAATTAAATTCATGATTACCCCCATACAAACATTTCATTTGAATTTCAATTTCGTCATTCAAATCGACGGAACACAACATGGTTAAAGTAAAGAATCAAAATAATACCTGGAACAGTTGGAAGCCGAGAAAGTTGTGTCCTTTTGGTGGAAAACCTCCATCTTCTCAAAGAAAACAAGAAGAAAGCTAAAGAGAGAATACCTAGAAGAATGGAAAATAACGAGAAAGACATTGTTGATTTTAACCTTTCAACTATGGATGTCATATAAAATGGTGGTTTATTAGATTGTTATATACAAGTACATAGAAAATATAGAGGTTGGATAAGCTTCAGGCTTGAAAGGTATATTATCTGTAAAGATAGATATAAAACTTAAAAGGCAAGTAGCCATTAATAAGGAATGGACACACCTAAATCGAGACAATTTTGGACATTTACATTTATGGTTATATAGATACATGTTATCCCTTTAATGAGTAATTATAAACTACTCTATAAGCTAAATACATTCATCTTAATTTTTTTTAAAAAAAATTATTTTATTATTATATTTTCTTTATTATATACCGAATATATATTATAATTATCTAAATTTGTTTTAATCTAATTAATTTAAATTTTTTACTATTCATTGAACTATCAGCTCACTGGATTCATTGAACTATGAAATTTAAGGTATGTGAGTGATTGATGATTATGACATAAAAATTTAAAACTTATCAACTTTAAGTTTAATTTTAATTTGAAGACTATTTTTATTTAAAAAATTTAATTCTTCTTGACCCTTGAGTAATTTGAGAGCGAGAGGTCATTAGTTATTTAATAATTGATGCATACTTTAGCTCCGTTTGAGATTTTTTTTTTAATATTTATAAATTTTTATTTATAGATGTATTATATTGTAACATGTCTAGTTTTGAATTTGAGTCATTACAATTTAATACAAAATTTCGAATTTAAACATCACTATTTTAATAATTTTTTGAACTAAAAATATTAATTCTCAAAAAAAAATTTAAATTATTAATAACATGTAACTCGAATCACTATATAAAATTAAAAAATTATATGCAAAATTTTAACATAATAATATCTATAAATTAAATTATCGATATCCTCGTAAAGACCACATATTACAAGCTTATATCATAACCCAAATGCGTGCAAGGTCCAAGACAGCATTAGCTTAAAGCCACCAAGCTAGCATGCCTTTTGAATCCATAAATTTCAAATTCAAACATCACAATTCAATGTCATTTCAAACCCAAAATACTAGTATAAAAAATCCAAACTCAAATTATTGTATAAAATTTAATAATTATATATCTTTTCAAAAATCACATAAATTTTTAACGAAAAATGAACATATATAATTTATATAAAAGTAAAATTTAGGAATTGACATGTGTCAATTCCTTTTATTTTAGAATTATTCTATATTTAATATATATAATAATTATTTATTAAAAAATTTTAAATACAAAAATAATTTTACATTTATTAAAACAAAAGTATTGATGTAGTAGTATAGATAGTAGCTAACTGCTTATTTAATCTAAGAATATATAATAGTTTTATATTTAATATGATCATACATAATAATAGTTATTTATAAAATTTTAAATAAAAAAATAATTTATGTATATAAAATCTGTTATTTATTAAGTATTATGTCTGTATGAAAGTAAATCGAGATTTATCGTATGATTTTTTTTTTTTTGAAATATTTTATAAATTTTTAAATAATTTTAAATCGTAATAACAAAATTTATCCCAATCAAGATTTTTGCCAACTCCATTACAGTTTTTCTTCATTGGCCGCATAAAGTTAGTCAAGGATTGTGCCGACGACTCCATCCCTTGAAAATCTAAGAAAGCAAATTTCTGCGACTGAGACTTGGGCGTCAAGTCCGCCACATTCACTCTTTAGTCTGTTCTAATTTTTAATCTCATTCTTGTTTTACTATGGATAATTATAATATAATCTATATTGCATTTGTTATCTAATTATCGAAATTAGCCAAAAAAAAAACAGTGATTTTAGAAAGTAAGCATCTTAATCTGTACTGCACTCATAAACTGAACAAACAAATCCAACATTACAAATCAAACTCAAATATGTCTGACCTCATTCAGGCTACAACGTTGATTAGCTGGGTTTGAAGAATTTCAGCTTGAGTCCGCTGTTCACCATACTCCAGATACCACCAATGGAGAAGGCCAAACTAAAAGCAACCCCCAACCAACCCAGGATCCAATTGAAGTACCAGTTGAAGCTGTACTTGGTAGGCTTTTTAATCAGAACCCACATGAAGCAGGGGTAAGCAAAAGTCACAGGAAGAGTCAGTCCTCCCAAAAGACCCGCAAGACTGGAAAGAAAAGGGAGTGCTACCCCAATGAAGAAGGACACGAATCCGTAGAACACCCGAAAACCAGACCTCACCCAAATTGAGCAAGGCCGGTTTGTACGGCTTGTGTATCCCGCCTCGAAACTGTCGAATGCTGGCATTGAATATATTTGGAAACTGCTTAAGCAATTGAATACAACTAAAAGAAATGTGAGTGCAAGAAGTCCTCTTGGAATGTCATGGCTGTGAAATGCGTACAAGGCGTTCAGAATACCTCCAGACGGCATCTGGAAACACAAGAATCAACTCAACAATCAATCAATATCTGGTATATACCTTCTCTCACCTATTTTTCAATTTCAAGTTTTCAATTTACCTGACATGTCTAATTAATTACACATTTTGGTTTAGAAAATAAAGAGCGTAAGTCAGTAGACTCACAAGGTTTCCATAAGCCCAAAAGCCTCCGATAGCAATTGGAAACAGGCACATTGCAATGAAGAAGTAAGCAACTTTGGCTCCTTTCCACATAGGCACATGAGCTGGGTGCTTAAAGGTTGATGGCATTGTTGCCTGGCAAGAACAAGATACATTGACTTGGATGATGAACGGAAGAACTTCAAAATGTTTTTTGTTCATAGAAAATGGAAGAGGGAGAAGAAAGTCTCTCCACATATATGGATACCTGAATTTCCAAAACTAAATTATGGCCCCTGAAGGCGAAAGCAACAATTCCAAGTGCATTCATGACTGAGAAAACAGACGCAGAAGCTGTTGGCAACGCGAGAGGTTCATAAGAGATTGTGGGTGGCCTCTGTTGGCTAACAGAAAGCACCCAGACCATAGTGGAGTAAGTTATAGCTGTCACAGCGCCAATGAGTGAAAGTCCTGCAATTGAGTTGAGGTTTGGCAGCTGAGATAGAACAATACATAGTGAAGTGAACACCAGATACCACTCAACCGTTGTTAGAGGATTTGATGAACAGAGAGGTCCGCAAACTATTTGGAAAAACAGCTTCATGGTCTCGCCTCCAATGAGAATTAGTGCTGTTGCAGTTCCTGCTGATAAATAAACAGTCGGGAAGAGAGCAAGCCAGACTCCTAATCTTTCCCCTGTAATATGAGCCAATTCTAATTATCAATTTACCCATAAAGGATGCATTTTTGTACTAAAATTTGGTGATATTTATGTTTTCTCACCGAATGCTGCTTGCGCAAGCTCCACATATCTGTTGTACCTCTTTCCTGGAACTGCTTCATGTAGCTGAACTAGAATCCACAGTGTGTAAAGTTGCCAGCAATAGGCTATTGTTAGCGACAGAATGCCCCAACTCCTACACAAACAGAATAGAAAGTAAGATAAATATCTTTGTTCCTTTGAAAACCAAGATGGATTTTGCTTTCTACCTCTTGCAAGTCCCTCAGAAGCTACCCTATTTAGAAAAAGCATAACTTAAATTGGCATAAACTTCGTACGTACCAGACTGAAAGCATTGATCAAACATAGATACACCAAATCTTTTGCGAAATTAGTTTTTTGCTAGACATAAGAGAACTTCAAGATTCAGAATTTAAAACACTAGATATTTGAGTCTGATATAAAATTTGCTCATTGGGGCCATGTCCACCAGATACTAGTGAGTCATGGAGTTTTTAAGTTTCTAGAGATATAAACAACATTTCATCTTTAAAATTATTCTAGAACACACATTTTCAATTGCAGCAAGTGAGCATGCGCTTGATTATGAAAGAGTTCTTGGCAATAAACCATGTCTGTCATGATAGGAAATTTCGGGGTCTGTTGGAGAATTTAACCCAAGGGACACCACAGTAACAGATTCAAATACACATATGGGTTTTACATTTTCTGAGACCAAAATTTTCCTTTTCATTTACCAAAAAAACAACTTGTCAAACATGTTTCTTAGTTGATATGATGCTGTTTGAAATCATCAGTGCGAATATGAAGAGCCAAAAGCTACAAAAATAGTAATCAATGACAAAGCGTCCTCTTATCTCAATCCTCTAAAAAGCAGAGCAGAATTATGAGTGGGCCACGAGATAGATCATAGCAATGGCCTCAAGGAGACTTCTTTCTTCTTCTTTTTTCTTTTGACTGTTTAATGTAAATCCACGAAAATTAAAACTCAATAAATTCCTTTCTGTGACCCCGAGAAAGAGTGACGTAAAGAAAAACAGTAAATCTAAATTAAGGTATGCAGTTGTTTTCCAATATGAAACACTTAAGAGAATCCAGAAGAACAAATATACGACAAAAATCTAGCTTCAGATCAAATTAGAAGCTATAATCAAGTGAGACAAATGGAAGAGTTGAAATGGAATTGTACAAGTCAAAGAGCACAAAGTATGCTTTAGTATCTACAAATGTATACTTTTTTAAGTAAATCATATAGGGGTTGAAGCTAGAACAGGATTAAAAACAAAAGACAATAGCTTGTAGTAACCCGTACTCACCCACTCTGCACTCCAATCCTGTACTACAACTGAACAAGCAAGCGCAACTCATTTCAAAAAGAAGACGACATTGGATTTGTTGAAAAAAGCAAAATAGAAGAAGCTGAAAAGCAGAGGAAGTAAGACGAAGCATACCAGCCGAGGAAAGAAAAAGCAACGGGCAAAACCAGAGCTTGAAAACCGACCCCAGCATTAAGATTATGAAACGCCGCGTAATGTGCATTCCCATTGCGTGACTCCGTGATGGGAAGCCATGCATCCTGAGGATTAAGCTTCGTCAAGTGACCCATCTCCTCCAAGTATCCCTTCATGTTTATCAATACCCTCTTCATTGGCGTCCCTATTGGGCTCAAAAACCTCGGAGATATAAACGAGGTCGGCGTCCATGCCGTCGACGACTTCGCCTCCTTCGACGTCAGCCTCGGCGACCTCTGCCCTGACGGTGTCAATATTTCCGGCGTTGACACACGCGGCGTCGCCGGAATGGATATCAGCTCCGTCTCTGGCCTCTCCTCCATTCTCCCTGTGCCTCCCGGTAATGCAAGCAAGAAAACAACGCAGGCTAACACCTCTGTTTAAGCGAAGCTCACCGTAGCCAAAAAGGAAACGAGTACGAGAAGAAATAATGGAGGTTCTCGTTTTCTTTTGCTTTGTCGCTTTTCTTTTTTGTAAATATGTCCGATTTCTGTCAACGGTGACAGGACTGAGAGAATGTGAGTGGCTTAGAGAGACATCATCAAAGTTTGCACTCTCTGATCTTGACCGTTGATTATCTGCTGAAGTGAATCACGTGGCTATTTGGACGGTAGTGATGCGCGCTTGTCGATTGATGCGAACATTGGCCGTGCCATACTCAAATCAAGACTCGAGTTGACTGGTTTTTGTATTTTGATTTTCAGGAAGAGAGATATATAAGGAGGGCTATAGGCGGGGATAATATACGGTGGGGAACACGGGGTGCTTATGGTGCGGGCTTAATGTGAACCGTTGGGTCAAAAGCATTTGATGAATGATGATGATCCATCATTTCCACTGGGTCCGACGTCAGCCTCCGGATTATTCGGTAGTCAGCGTCGTGTGTCACGCGATCATGAGAGCGTAGCCGATCATTAATTTCGCATAAGATTGGAGGAAGGAAATAGCAGTAGATAACAAGCGGGAGGTGGGGCGTGGGGGTGGGACGTAGTGCGTCGATTGGTGTGTAGCGGTAACTTTGGAAATGCGGAGGTGTCGGGTTTTACCGACAGAAGAACATGATAAGTTTTAACCGCGCATGATTTGCTGTTACGGAATAGTAAAATTGGGAAAAGAAAAATAAATAAATAATTAATTAATTAATTAAAAAAAGAGCGTGCGTATTATGAAATCATGTTGCTTTCTTTCCAATTAGGGACCACACAAATACACATTTGATAATTGTGCGAGTAGCCGAAAGTGAAACATAAGAATCGGTAATCGGGGGTGGGGCATTTTGCCCCTTTCTTAACATAATTTTTGTAACTTTATTTAATTTTACAAAATATAATTTTTATAACTTTAATTTAATTTTTTTAAAAAAATATTTTATGAAATAACTATATATTTTAATTTTATAGTATATTTGATACAGAGGATATGATAGGCAATAGGTGAATAAACTCTATAACTTTTTTTTTTAATATTTGAAATAAATTTTTGATTGTTGATGTAAAAGACTATTTATCGTTGATATCACACGACACGGTCATTCAAGGATCCTAATCGCATGATCTTGGAATTCTAATGATACACGATTAATGCCTAAATGAGTTTTATTAAAAATGTCACTCATTTAAATTTATATTGTCTATTGAAAGATTCAAACCTAATACATATGTATATATATATATATGCACACATAAACGAGTTTGAATATTGATTGTTGTTATGGTAATATTTTAAGTATTTGAAATAAAATTTTGAATATATCTTTTATTGCGTTCCTTTATTTTGTATTTAAAAGTATTAGATTTATCTGTCATGCGATGTATATATATATTTTAGTGATATCAAATATAATAATTAACTAAATGAATGAGATTTAACTCACATATTGTTAAATGAACTAATTCAATTATATACTTTTAAAGTAAAAATACAGTATATAGATTGCAGTTATAAATAATTATTAATTTTATTTATTTATATGTTGGTAGATATCAAACAAGATAATTTATTATTTAGTTTATTTCTCTATAAAATTATCGAACATGTGTTACCTAACAATCTGTGTATGTTAATTGTAAATAAATATAAATACATTCATATTAATTCGCTCAAGTGTACCGATCCCGAAATTTCTAAAGAAAATAAATTATGGATTTAGTGCATAAGCGATATAAATATTTAAAGTTTACATTCCTTACACGATAACAGAAAGTACCAAATAGGGTTTACGGGAATAATCATTCTAAAAGAACAATTAATAACAAAGAAAATAAATTAAAGACAAACAACTAAACATCGCAATGCTCTTGTGGATCGAGCTCTAAATTATGGTTCTCTTGATCTGAAATAGTTAATGAGAGAATAAGCTATACTAACCCAATAAGAATATCACGCTACTCACCACGCAGAAATGAAGGTTGGTAGAAATCATAAAAAAACTAATGGAGCTCTTAATTAAACAAAATCGTTTATCATAAATAAAATCATTTATCGTCTACTTACTGTAACGAAATTCACACAAAAAAACTTATAGAGGTAATAACATAACACATATTATAATTTCATATTCAATTAATTAAAACAACAACTTTCCATTTCTATTAGTATACTAGTATCAATGGATGTCTATAGGGATATCCCCACAACGCGTGGACTCTTTCTTTTAACATTTCTAATTAACGGGTTGTCCTCATACCCCGTCCGGTATGAGTGTCAAATTACTAAACTTCGATACTTCATCCGGTATGAGGGTGAAAATGGGCTGACTATCCCCATACCTCGTCCGATATAAAGGTGAAACATGTCGTCCCCATACCCCATTCGGTATGAGTACCAAATTACCAAACATCGATATTTCGTCTGGTATGAGGTAACGTTCACAGTAAGATTCTCTATGTACCTGGTCCGTCCACCATCTTCTATAATATCCAGTAAGGCTGTCGTTTCATCTATTCATTTAATCAAACAGTTTCCTGACTTCGTTTAATTTTCAGATTCTTAATTCAACCATAACCACATGAAGCAAACAATACATACATTCAAACTATAAGATCAATCAATCATGTATTATCGTGCATTTAAACTATAAAATAAATCAGCAGAATCAACAGTGAATAATTTTCGTTTCTGGCTCCATTAGTGACTGGTAATTAATTATGTATATTTTCTAAGCTGCCCAAAACACTGTATTATTATTATTATTATTTAGATTTCAATTTCATAACAGAAATTGAGGTAAGAGATTCTTACTCAAATTGATACCTGAAATGTTAAACTTGTTGACTGTTCCTACTGGCAGTCCCCGAATTTTTTGAATTTTTTTTAGGAGATTAAAACACACTACAAGTACTTACAAATATTTCAAAAAATCCAAAATCAGTGTCAGGACCCTTTTTTGCCAATTTTGGAATTCTGGCACGGCGGCTCCGCCGTGCTTCGGCGATGACACTGCCGTCCGCGACGGCAGTTTGCCTCAGGTCAACTGTTTTCGGTCCTTTTATACCAAATTCAATCGGTTTTGTATCAATCGCTGCTAGAAAATACGTTAAAAGGACTCGGTTGGCCCAAAAAAAATAAAAAACTGAAACTCACCTGTGGCAGTGTTCTCCGATGTGGTGGCTCTACCGGCTCACCTTTGCGGTTGGGTGTTTTGCTTCGGTCAACCTATAGAGAAGGAAACGATGATTACAATGGTGAAAGAATTACACATAATGGGAATCAGAAATGACTTCATTGGATGCGGTTTGTACAATTTTTTGCAGTGCCGCCGCCAGACTTTACCCACGATTTTCAGCCAATCCACTGGTCATTTTGCTCCGACTTGGCCATGAGGGTACTTA